TGGACCAATCAGTGGTTCCGTGTCCAGTTCTCACTGTTGCTTCTTGACCCGCATATAGGTTTCTCAAGAGACAAATAAGATGGTCTGGTACTCCCATGTCTTTAAGAACTTGCCACAATTTGTTGTGATCCACACAATCAAAAACTTTAGCATAGTCCATGAAGCAGAAGTAGATGTTTTTCTGGAACTCCCTAGCTTTCTCCATGATCCAGCGTATATTGGCAATTTGATCTCTAGTTCCTCTCCCTCTTCGAAATCCTGCCTGTACTTCTGGTAGTTCTCGGTCCACATACTGCTGGAACTTAGCTTGTAGGATTTTGAGCATAAATTTGCCAGCATGTGAAATGAGTGCAATGGTGTGGTAGTTTGAACATTCCTTGGCATTGCCCTTCTTTGGGATCGGAATGTAAACTGACCTTTTCCAATCCTGTGGCCACTGCTGAGTTTTCCGAATTGGCTGGCATATTGAGTGTAGCACTTTTACTGCATCGTCTTTTAAGATTTTGAATAGCTCAGCTGGAATACTGTCACCTCCACTAGGTTTGTTGTTGCTCCGACTTCCTAAGGCCCATTTGACTTCACATTCCAGGATGTCTGGCTCGAGGTCAGTGACCACCCCATCGTGGTTATTAAGCTCTTTCTTGTATAGTTCTTCTGTGTAATCTTGCCACCTTCTCTTAATCTCTTCTGCCTCTCTTAGGTCCCTGCCATTTTGGTCCTTTATCATGCCCGTCTTTGCATGAAACGTTCCCTTCATATCTCCAATTTTCTTGAAGAGATCTCTGGTCCCCCCTATTCTATTGTTTTCTTCTATTTCTTTGCACTGTTCATTTAAGAAGGCATTCTTAGCTCTTCTAGCTGTTCTCTGGAATTCTGCATTCAATTGGGTGTATCTTTCTCTTTCTCCCTTGCCTTTCGCTTCCCTTCTTTCCTCAGCTATTTGTAAAGCTTCCTCAGACAGCCATTTTGCTTTCTTGCATTTCTTTTTCTTTGGGATGGTTTTAGTTGCTACCTCTTGTACAATGTTGCGAACCTCCATCCATAGTTCTTCAGGCACTCTGTCTATCAGAGCTAATTCCTTAAATCTATTTGTCACCTCTACTGTATCAGGGATATGATTTAGGTCATACCTGAGTGGCCTAGTGCTTTTCCCTACTTTCTTCAATTTAAGCCTAAATTTTGCAACAAGAAGGTCATGATCTGAGCCACAGTCAGCTCCTGGTCTAGTTTTTACTGACTGTATAGAGCTTCTCCATCTTTGGCTGCAGAGCACATAGTCAATCTGATTTCTGTGTTGACCATCTGGTGATGTCCATGTGTAGAGTCGTCTTTTGGGTTGTTGAAAAAGAGTGTTTGCTATGACCATCGTATTCTCTTGACAAAATTCTACCAGCCTGTGCCCTGCTTCATTTTGTACTCCAAGGCCAAACTTGCCTGTTATTCCAGTTATCTTTTGGCTTCCTACTTTAGCATTCCAATCCCCCATGATGATAAGGACATCATTTTTTGGTGTAGAAGGTGTTGTAGGCCTTCATAGAACCAGTCAACTTCAGCCTCTTCAGCACCAGTGGTTGGGGCATAGACTTGGACTATTGTGATGTTGAATGGTTTGTCTTGGATTCGAACTGAGATCATTCTTTCATTTTGGAGATTGCATCCTCATACTGATCCTTAAAACAAATAGTGTAAAGGATAGAAAGATAATTGAAAGCTGTAGGTTTTCAGTACAATATCAACCACTCAAGTTCAATAGATCTCAGTCAAAAGCAGGAATTGCTAATATTTCCTGGATTTTACCAGTAACTCACAATGATATGAATTATTACCAAGATTGTAATTAGCCAACTTAATTTCAGATGCAGCAGTAACCTCAAAACCAAAATGTCAGTTTCTGGCAAGACTGAAACATCATGCTGCTGTCCCTGCAGCTTTGCCAGTAAGCATGTATTGCTTCCTTGGCTTTTCAGTGGTAAACCCAAATGCTCAGACTATTCATAATTTTCTCTAAAAGAACCACAGCACTTCTAATTACATAAACCCAACACTGGATTTTCATAGCAAGTTGGAGCCAAAATAAAGAAAACAATTTCTAACTACTCATTTTATTAATATTCAGTTCCATGTGGCCTAGAATGACCTTTTGTGGTTGAGAGTCTGAAAGCTCTCATGTGACCCAGCTAGCACTGGAGATTTTCGGGTATAGAAACCAAGTGATTGGATTGATATGTGCTAAAGAAGCAGGTCCCTAGGTATGACTCAGCTGAGCTGTAATTAAATGAATAGAGTATATATGCCAGACTGGAGAATTTTATAAAAGAGGCCAAAATCAGAAGGGGCAAACTCCAATGGCTGTTCCAGATATAGGGTGCAAGCCCATGGCTACCAGACACTCTCTTGGTGTCCATAGGAAAACTCAGATCCCCAGCTCTGAGACTGGAACTCCATACTTGGAGGTGCTCCTCTGTCCTTGCCTCCAGCCCAGCACTTTCCATACTAGCTGTGGCTCTAAAGTCAGAGGGGCAACTCTGGAGATAATGCCAGAGAATGCAAGGCATGAGGGCTTGCCAGAGGATGAGGAATCCCAGCAGACCCTCAACCCTCCTTCTTACAAGCAAAGGAAAAAACACTTAATCCTATGCAAAGGCCTTCAGCTCTCAGGAAATTGCAGCTCTTTTTTCTGTCTAAACTTGCGTAGGATTTTATCCCAAAGCTGGATAAGAGTTTTTTACAGCAAGGGAAGTGTGAAGGCAGTTCTCAACTCTGCAGGCCCTGCATTGGATGCCTGTAGTCCTCTGCATTCAGAGAGTCACGGGCAGCTGCTTCAAATTGTGCCCTTATCTTGCTATTAAGTTGGTGTTATTTGGTATGGAAGAGCCAGAGGACTTCTGCAGAATTAGCCGCACTATCAAGGAAACCCAGACAACTGCCTGGGTGCCAACATTCCTGGGCTTCTAGCTTACCTATGCTAAGGCCACACTCTTTTGCATTTCTAGACAGGAAAAAAGGTCTACAACTCCCAGCATGCCACAGCCAGCATGCTGTGGGTTATAGACCTTTTCCCTGTGTAAATTTGCATAAGATTGGGCCTTGACTGTCTTCGGAAAAGAGCATGTGTATGTGGCAGTACCTTTAGGGTTGCATACAGACTGCACAGTACCTCATTAGTTGCATTAGGTTTGCTCAACCTGGTGCCCTCTGGATGAAAAGGACTGCTATCTGGTGATGATGGGAGTTGTAGTCCAGCATATCAACCACCTGCATTCTGGGAGAAACGACTTCTCGTCCCCATTACTTGCTCAGGGCATAAAAGGAATGGAAGAGCAGAAAGCATTAAAAATGAATATAAGAATATAATATCCCAGTTGACTCTTCATCTTTTTTAATGTGCTATTTTCATGCTATGTATAAGAGAGTTCACAGCCCAGGATTTATCTGAGGAGCAAAACTGGACTCAGCTCACAGTCCCTCTGCACAAAAATTCACTCCTGATTATCACCACTGCCAACTTTTTAATTTCAGCAGAATCATTTCCATGCTGATGTCTGTCTCTCTGTGTTTTTGTTGTTGCCATTGGCAAGGATTTTTTTAGCAATCTAGTTTAAATTATCCAGGGATCTAGTAGTTCATGATAAACTTACTGCCCCACCCCAGTCTAGAATAGCAGGATAGTGTGGATTAGACTTGGACATCTCTAAAAGGAGCACTTCTGGGAATTGCCTGTATTCCAGGGCTGGGGAACCTTCTACCCATGAAGGGCTATTGGCCCATGGAAAAAGTCAGTCAAGTCACAATTTCCAGTTATAACTTCACAAAATGTGGAAAAGTTGAGGGGGAACCAATACTTCTGCAGGGCACTCTATTATAAACTTCTGTATTTCTACATTGTTTTTATGAGGCTGCAATTATTTCCTAACAGAGAAGACCTCCCAGAACTTAACACTCCTAGAAGGGCTACCACACCCAGACAGTTGGTGTGTTTACCACTGCTATTACTTCATCCATTGGCAAAAAGTACTGAAAGTTGGGTGCAGCTAGTTTTTCAAAAAGCACACGGTAGTAATATTTCCTGCACGTTACAAAGAGTACCTGCACATCTCTGGTTTTACAAGGGAAAAGCTTGCAATTGTTTGGGTTGGAAATCTGGTGATTACTGCTACTCTTGGAGAGACAACTGCATGCCCTTGCCCTTTTCTGCAGACACCCATGTGCTGTTGGGATGCAAACTCTGTCTATGTAAGAGCTAGTATGACATTCTGTGCAAGACCAATGGGACAGAGGTGGGCAGCTCTTTCTCACGTGCTTCTGAGAACAAAGATAAACCTTCTTGGAACAGCAGTCCTGAGAAGTTGGAGGCTGTAACACAATGTTCTCCAACCAGGTGCCTTCTAGAGTTTTGGGCTACGACTCCCAGCATTCCTGATCATTGCTGGTGGAGCCTGATGGAAGGTGAAGGCATGGGCACAGGCAGCAAGGGCTTCTCCCTGTTGTTTGTTTTAAAAAATTGTACATAAGGACAGAACACATGGGACAGGTTTCTAAGCATGGCTCTTTTCTTTGCAGTGCTCCTTACCTGTAAGTGGGGTTGTGCTGACGGAAAAGTGCTATGTGGGCAGGAGTTATTGAATGTTCTGTATGGCAGTTATAAAAACAAGAAGCTTTTGCACTGATTATTGTTTTTGGTTCACTTGGTTAACATATTACTGGGTTTGCTTGTTCTGCTCTGTCATTCAATCATATATTATGTTTCTATACTGCCCAATAGTAAAAAATCTCTGGGTAGCTCACAACATAAAACCTTCAACACAGAACAAGTGTATGTTAGTACATCTGTGATCTTTAATTTAGTAGGGTGTACCCACATTTAATTACTGTGTTATTCATGATACTCTGAGTATTTTTTTAAATTTTAATTAAAAAGATATAAGCCACCTTGACAGCTCTCTAATAATATGTGATGGGTATACATTGGAATAAAATGTAACTATTTCTTTTTAATGCAGCAAACGAGAAATTAAGATGAGAAAACTAGACAGCACTAAAGTAAAGCCTGTGAAATCTGAACAACTTCTCCGCATAGAGGATCATGATTTTGCCATGAGACCTGGCTTTGGAGGTAAGAACGTCTGCATTTGCTATTGTATACCATTAAATATCTCATTTGATAAAGTAAATTGCTCAGACCATGGTCAATGAGGTCATTTAAAAATGAAATCACATGTTTATCTTTGTCTCCCCTTCCTCTGAGGATTAAAAACTCAAATCAACATTAAATGCTTGACATTTAATTTCTAGGAAGAGCAAATATTGCAAAAGAACACCCTGAATTATTGACTTTCAACTCAATCTTATTTCACTTTTACTATTCCAGACAAAATTCTATCTTTGAAACCTAGGCTATTGAAAGTGGCAATAAGTAAATTATTGAATATGACCAGATTTCTTTGAAAGTTTTTAAGGGTGCAATTCTATGCATGTTTAGACAGAAAAGGGGTCCTACAACTCTCAGGATGCCCCAGGCACAATTTCTGTCTAAATATGCACAGGACTGAGCTTTAAGGGAATTAGACATTCTTGATTATGTCAAATTGGCCTGAAATAATAAATCTAGAATAACTGCAACTAAGCCATTTTGATGCTATTTGGTTCATTGATTCATTGTTCTCAGTTGTTACTGCAAGCTGCTCTGATGCAATATTATCAGTGTTATCTGTAGCAAACATGTAAATTGCAGATAATGTATTCATAACTTGAAACAAGTGAGAGAGTCTGGGTTTGCAGGACACAGCATGCAACTGTTGATTCTTATCAAGATTGTTGAAGCAATTTACTATGGCTGAGAACCATGATAAGAAACAGTGATCTGCTCTACAGTTTTTCCCTACCATGGTTGCTTGTTGCATCATCCAGTTTGGACAACATAATCTATCATGGGAAAATTCCTACAACAAGAAAGTGCAGCTGGTGACACTCTTACCAAGTAGCTAGGCATATTGCTCAGCTAATAGCTACCCTTCTCTCAGCAGCATCCCCAAACTATTTGCATCTGGCATGACCACAAAGGGAGCATCTCCATCTAGTCTAGATCCCCTTCCCCATTCCTCCTTAAGAGACAGATGGCCCTGGGCTAGGTGGGGATGCATCAAGAAGGACCTGCTTGAGAGAATGCCCCTCAAACAGGACGGCAGATCAGCTAGGTGCTGCTGTCCCCAACCTGGGCTGCCCATCCCAGCTGATTGCTCATCCCACCCTCACTCACACCTGAGAGGCTTCCTTTCCAGCAAGATCACAGGAATTAGCAGAGTGGTGCTACCTCTTTCAGCATTTCCACCCAGCTAATTGTCCCTCTTGTGCTTGAGAGTGAATGAGGCACCCCATGCTCCAGCACCAGAGCTCTCCTGTGGTACAAGTGCTGATCAGCTCCCCCTCCCTCTCTGTTGCACTTTTGGGCTTGAACCCTATTTGAGCAACAGAGATTCTTTGACAGCTGCAGTGAGCCAAAATTGCTGCAGGATAGCAGCTGTCAAACGGAGGAGCCTCACTCCTTCCTGTGGAGTTCCTTAGGATATTGCTTGGAGAAATAAGAAGGAAGGACCAAAAAACACAGTGATCATGATTGTCTGTTGGTCTTATCATGGCTCCTGGGCACTTAATGGCAACCCATTCTGGAGATTTACCATGATGGGTGGCTATTATGTACAACCTCCCAGAGAGTGTCTTCATACTATACATTAAGTCACAGTGGTTTGGTGTGTTGTCTGAACCCACTGCTCTGCCTGGAGGATAATTTATAAACCACCACAACTAGCCATAGTTTCTAGGAAGGTTCAAACCCTGCTGCGGCTTATTGTGTTGTTTGAACCCAGAGAGCAAAATAAGCCATGGTCAAGTCAAAAAAGCAGACAACTGCTTGGCAAGAGTGGTAGAAATGCCTGCTGCACTAACCGAGGGCCTAGCAAGTGACAGCCAGTTCCAGGCACCCCATAGTGTCCCAACGACACTTGGGAACAGCTGGAAAAGATTCCTCCAGTAGCAGCAGGGGGCACGTCTCAACTTGGGGAACCCCCCATACAAGTATATAACCCTGTCCCTTTAAATCACAAGCTTTTGTGTCCTGCGCTGGGATTTTCCTCAAGTGCTGCCACTTTCTGAAATGCTATCCACTCAGGGTATGTTGCAAAATACAGCTGATGCTTACTAGCATTCCCTCCTACCTGGAGGCTCCTGTATGGAAGAACTGATGAGGTGTCCCCTCAAATGTTCTTTTTTTAAATAAATTCTTGGGGTTTGGGGAGTTGGTGTCGAGCCTCTGTATTAGGGAAAGTGAAGGCAGCCCAAACTTCTCCAAAACCCCAGAAGATTTTGCTGTAAAGTATGTGCTGCATGGAGGTATTTAAAAAGAATGTTAAAACAGTTAGCAGTAGGTTACAAAGTTGTAATTTGGCACATGTGCTGTCTCCATGCCAAAGTGCAACTTTTTAGCCCATTGCTATTTTTTCAGATTTTTTTTAAAGTGTGGTGTGTGGAAAGCACCCTTTGCAGCAGAATCATTGGGCTGCTTTTGGCTCATGTGGCCCTGGGCTGCCCTCACTTCCCCAAGTACAGATTGAGACCCTTTTTAGAAAGTCAAACCTCAGCTGGTATCCCTGAAGGGATGGCTGTGGCTCAGGGTGACCCTGCAGTGTACCCTGGGATAGCACAGGATGAATTATGGGGAAGAGGGTTGGGGAGGCACAGTGCATGGTTAAAATTCCCAAAGTGTGTATTATGGTATCAGAACCCAACCAGAGTCCAAAGGCTATCACTGTGGCTGGGCACAATATTGGAATAATTGGTTTGCAGCAGTTCCACTGCCTATGGGCATTCCTATTTTTCTAGCCAATACTTCTGTTCCTGGGTGTAAGGAACTCCCTGATGCTTTAATTCAGAATTCCAGGAACCCTTCTCTGCTGCAGCCACTTCTCTCAAATCACTTTTGCCTGTAGCTTGGCAAAAAAAAAAAAAAAAAGACTTAGACATTGGATAAGCACCAAAGCTAGAGACAGTTTGAACTGTTAAAAAAATAGAATGCTAATATTTACTCAGGGGGTTTTCAGAAGACTTCTTACTGAGACCTACTGATATTGCACTATTGCTAAAATAGTCATGTGGTTAATGGTTAAGCAAGTGCTTTGCATTTATGAACTGTGGCCACTTCCTTATCAGAATAGGCAATAGGCAACATACTCTACAGAAGTTTGGGGCTACAATTCCCATCAGCCCTTGCTAGCAAAGTCAATGCTCAGGAATTATGAGAGTTGTAATCCAAGTCATCTGGAGGACATAAAGTGACCTTTTTATTAGGTTTACTAAAGGGCAGACATGTGGAGTAACTTATATAAATATTGATAATTTTAAAATGAGGGGAAAACAACATGTTTCTTTCAAAATGTTCCCTAAGTAGTGTCTCCTTGCAAATAGAAAAGCCCTGTGGCAATATTATATATTTGAATGTGTTTATATGAACCTACAAATATTTCAGTCAGTAGCCAGATATGCTTATCTGCTGTTTATTGTATGCTAGTTTTACCCCAAATGATAGTTACTTGACAGTTATGGACCCAGCCTTGTGTGTGTGACTGTCCTGAGTTGTTAATGTTGGGGCAATATCCACACCTGGGCGTGTGTGTGTCTTAGCATCCTTGCAGCATCCACTGCTGATGCTGAGCTCCCTTGCTGGGTCCATCGTCCCAGCTTAAGTTCAGCACTTGCCTTCCACTGCCAGGTAAGCCCAGATCTGGAAGGCTTCCTCTCTTCCATCAGCATGCCTTGGTGGGCCCACCGGCAGTAAAAGGCTGTTAGGCACTGACCAGTGTCTGGTGCTGTTTGAAGTTCTCACAGTGTCCCAAATCAGCTGAGAATTCATTCTACGAGTATAGAAGGTACTACTACCAAATAAACAAGCAAATACATATAAAATGGATTCATATTTATATTTGGATACACAGATGCGTATACCCTAGTATCAAAATACCCAGGCAGGGTACCTAAAATCTTTTAGGTGCTCCAAAACAGGAGATGCTGTGTCTCTGCAGATGCTGTTGGACTTCAAAAACTCCATTTCTGGCAATTGGCCAGCTGACTGGGGCTGATGGCAATTGGAATCCAACAACATGTGAAAGGCCACAGGCTCCACAGACACATACATAGCTGTGCAAAGCCGCAGCAGGATACTTTTGTTAAAAAAAACAACATGAATGATAATATTCCATGTTTATTTTTTATTAGTGCCACTGTTAGTAAACAGGTGATGTGTCAATAATTAATTGTTTTCCAGCTTTAAGCAGACTTCAAATGACTGAGATTAAAACATGTTACCATCTGTATATGACCTGGTTTAAAATGTTATATAACACCCATATGCAGCTATTACCTTCCTTCTAGGCCATCTAGGAAAACAAATGGAATTCACCAAAGTGGTTTTAAATATATAAAGCAGGTAAGGTAGGTTCGTGTTTGTAACTCAGCAAAAAATATTTACAAATTACTCTGAAATGATGTGGAAATATGCCAGCAGCTATTAAAATTACTCCATTTCATAACAAAATCTGCCTTTCTATCCTGTAGTTTTTTGCTTGACTAGACAGAAGAAAGGATGAAATTTGCCTTGATAGTTTAAAAGTACTGGCACGAGACTTTTTACCCAAGCAACTGAAAATGTTTTCACAAATGACACTTAAATAATTTTTAAAATTGCCCAACTTTTCTACTTGAATGGAAGAGGTTCTTGATTTTAAAGTGATCCATTTCAATGTTAATTGTCATATTCTTAGGGCTGTCTGTGAAAAGGTCCCAATCTCATATCTAATCAGGTAATAAATGAGATCAAAACTGTAGAAACGTTGGACAGTGAAATGAAAAATGAGAACTGTGGATGGTGGTGATGAGAATGATGTTGGCAATAGTGCAGGATTCCCAGTTATGGGAAGGAAGTTTGCACATTCAGCCACAATTGAAAGACTCTCCCTTCAGGTTGTCCCACAGGAATAACATGAATGGCCCTGCTCTTCCTTCCACACATTCTGGCAACTCATAGGGGAAATGCCTGTAGAGAGCTTGTGAAGTGGTAGCAGTGATATCTCTAGCAGTGATTGCCTGAACTGCCTTCAGATCACAGAGGGGGCAAGAGAAACACAAAAATATAAGACTCCCCTCAGCTGTGCTCTTCTTCTAAAGGTACCCATCCTCTGTGATTCAAGAGGGCTGAAAGATGGAGAGGAAAAGGGAAGAAGGGATCCAGGATGGATGGAGGTTAGAGCCTGAGGAGGCAATGGCAATAGCTAAGCAAAGGGGACAAATAAAGAAGAGTTTGATGAAAGAATGTTCCAGAGGAGTGAACGGAAGAATCTAAAAAGAAAATATTATGTGGAATGGAGCTGGGGGAGAACTAGACCTGTTTGTGGAAGATGCAGAAATGAGTGAAACTGAAGCTTACATATTCATCTGAAATAACAACTGACTCTTCTTAATAGTCTCGGTGCATCACACATATGGGCCCATGCAGAGACTCAATTTAGAAAGCTTCTATAACTGAGGAATTTTTGATGGGAATGCTGTCCCATCATTGCAGCATGCATATCCCTTATGCTTTCCCACTCCATGCCATCAGATGCTATTACTGGACCTTCAGGTATGGTTTTCTCTTTCCAGATGCAACCTCATTCCCATGATGGGAGTGTACTAGAAAGGATAACTCATGCCTTCCATCTCCATTGGTTCTGGGAACACCAGTGAGGGAAAGTGGTTCCTTGATTCCACGTGTTGGTACCACTTTAGGCTCCAAAGTCAGGCATGAGAGATAAACCTGATGAACCCTCATGTTGGATTGGCAAGGACTATCAGTTAGATTCAGCATCTTTTACCTTAGCCCTGTTGGTCTCTTCTCTGGATAAGATTATTGAGAAGAGAGATCTTATTTGATATTTGGAGGACATGAATAATCCTGCTAGTAAGTTTTCTGAATGGCTTAATTCCTGGGCCTTGAAACTCTAATTTAAATAGAAATGCAATTCATCAAACCATCACAGAGAAGATTGAGAGCTTTACCAGCACAAAGAAGACTGTGACTTGTCCACCAGCTCATGTTAAAGAAACCACTGTTCTGGCTGCTCTTGCTTCTCATGGATCTTTAGCATTAAACTAGACTTAGACTGGGCAGACCTTCAGATAGAAATCTGTTCTATGCAAAATAGGCCATATAAGTACCTGAGTATGTAGATATTATGTAGTGATCAAACCCTGTTGTAAGGGGGTTCGTAAGAGACACACACATTTTAAATAATTTAAGACCATTTGAAGAAATCCACACATTGCAGTTCTATGACTGGTATTTGTTTCAGCTTTATCTCTTTGCTACTGTTAACTTTTCTGATCATCACATTTGCTTTTTCCATTTTTATTTTTTACAGGCTCACCAATACCAGTAGGTATTGATGTGCAAGTAGAAAGTATTGACAGCATTTCAGAAGTTGACATGGTAAGCATTTCATAATTTCAATACAGAAGAAGCACTCAGAGATACAATGGAAATAATTAGGAATCTGGTATTGGGAGTGCAGACATGTTGATTTTAGAAATAATCTCTTTGAATATTTGTGTATACCTAAAATAGTATAAGAGCTCAGTCATATGCATGTTTATATAGCAAGACTCTTAAAACTCCCAACATTTCTCAGCTAACCCAGATTGTGCCTGAAGACTTCTTACCAAGATCTGTATGTTTATGCTGAATCGTCACATTGTTCAAACATGGCATACCCAAATTCACTGTGCCCTTCCCATTAAGTGGCACTGCCTCAGTGATGGTGTTCCATGGGGCAGTGGGGGAGATGCTAGTCATCATGATGGATTTACTCTGGTAAAGATTGCATTGGTGAAACTAGTAAAATGGCAAGTGTAAGAGTTCTAACTCTGAATCTATGAGAACACCATGCATATACTGTCCTCTTCAATCATCTTTGGGGGTTTCAGGCTCCTTGTATGAGTTTGAATTTTATTTGCCTTGTGGTTCCTCCCTTTTTTGCATGAATAGCCCTGTTCTCTACACAAAGTGATCAACACAGGCCACTCAGGTTGGTTATTAGAAAGAAAATGTTGCAGTTTCTTTACAGGATGCCTGCCACCTGTGCCCTCCTCTGGAATAGTATAAGCTGTCAGGAGGTAGAACAGACCTCTCTGCTCCTCCTGCATCCACTTTTCAGTGGATTGTTCTGAGTTTTTGGTTTTACTGCACTGGAGGCAGGACTTAAAATGCTTTGAACTTCTGTACATTTTAGGGTTCACCCAGACTTGTGGATGATCTCTCTCTTGCTTCCCAGTGGCTCTAGTTTGGCTCCATTGCTGTCAGTACTCCTAAGTAGGTCCTAAGTTTTCTATTGAGGGACTGCATTTTTATTGCATATTATGCACAAAATGTACTGTCTATCCACAGTACTGCTAATAAATCAGAAAGCAATGTTTAGTGTTCAAAAATGTTTTTAGCTGTAGTAATATTTTAACAGGCGACACTGTTAAAAGGATGGATTCATGCCTTGTATTTTTTTAACCTTCCTCTTAATTTCCTTTATATTTCCTTTAAATAAAGGACTTCACAATGACTTTATACCTCAGACATTACTGGAAAGATGAGAGACTTTCATTTCCTAGTACCAGAAACAGAAGCATGACCTTTGATGGAAGACTAATAAAAAAGATCTGGGTCCCTGATATATTTTTTGTTCATTCTAAAAGATCCTTCATTCATGATACAACTATGGAGAATGTTATGTTACGCGTCTACCCAGACGGCAACGTGCTCTTCAGCTTACGGTAAGCACAGTATCCACTAACAGGAGAGCAAACACAGAAGAGGAAGGAATGCCTGTAGGATGCAGTAGCTCACTCTGATGTAGCTGTGTATGTGTTATGATCTTAGCTAAAATTACATGACTTTAGAGCCCATGGCAGTCATCGTTTTCCCATCAACGTTGTGCTCACACTCTCAGAAGTGATGTAGCTGCTAATGTCACATTCTGATTTCAACTCTGATCAATTTTTGTAGTACTTTGTTAGCTGCTTCTGTCTTCCCCTGCATCAGGTCATTCAGTGGGGTCAGCCATACTGTTAGACAGGGGACAGTCCATCCATTAGACGGTCCTTCCAGGTACTGAGCTATCTGCCTCAGGCCACAGATATTGGGGTGGGGAGAAAGTGGTAGCTGTCCTTCTCCTCTCCCTGAGCCCCCCAAAATAACCTGCTTCCCACAGATGCTGTGCAAGAGAGTGTCCAATTGCCATGATGGAGTAAGATTCATTGGCCCGATCAGTCAGATTCCATACATGGAATCGAGCAGGGTGCCATCTTTTCCTTCACCTCAGGCAGCAAGATGCTGTAATCAGACCTGTGCTGAGATCATTGTCTGAGGTCCTTTGGATATCCTTGCCCTGTGAAATAAGGTGGGTGGCAACCCAAGGAATATCCTTTTCAGTGGGATTCTCTCTCTTGAGAGGCTTGCCTCTAGTGCCCACTTTGACGTAATTTCAGCACCAGGCTAAATATAATTTTTAAATCCCTAGGCCTTTTAGTCCTTTAAATCTGTTTATGGTGCACAATTATCTGCTGATTCTGTTTTTCCTCCATGGCATAATACATATATAACAATATGTGTAGTATGAACTATTACAGTCTACTGCAGGGATCAGCAATTCAAGACATTCCAGTCTGCCTGCAAGGAAACTTTTCCTTCAACTCTTTTTAAGTCAACGGAATAATATTGCTTCATGGACTTTGCTAGAAGTGGGGAAAAAGGATGCCCTGTCAACAAATTGACATGAGGAGAAATCCCCCATATCCCCAAACGCCTTTGGGCAACACTATTCTTGGCAGTGGGTGGCATTCACCTTTTTAGCTTGTTTTTGGCCGGAGATCCTTTCCCCCACTTGAACTAAAGTCATGGCTACCCCATGAATTAATTATGATATATTCTACTTCTATGATCTGAGAGAGAGAAGCCATTGTATTGATTCATCAGAAATGAATAAATATGAGAGCCAAAACTGCAACCTTCTGTTCATTAACCTTAAGAACTGCATGCATAGCACAATTTTTAAGCTATAATTCAAGATTATTCTTACCTTTCTGACAGGATAACAGTTTCTGCCATGTGCTTTATGGACTTCAGTAGGTTCCCACTTGACACTCAGAACTGCTCCCTAGAGTTGGAAAGCTGTAAGTCTGGCTCTGCTAGAGTATTACGTGTTGTTCTTATGTATGTGTTAAAGTAGGAGTGATACAACATATTCTAACCTTTATTCTTTTAAAGGTGTATAAATGCACATTTAGCTTCTCACTTTATCTCACATTGAGGCTGACTTTAGGATCCTGTTGCATATTCTGTACTGCAATTTACCTATGAGTAATCCTACTGTCTCATTCTTTTATGACATTGTCACAATGTGTCTGTTCTGAAACGTCCCCATATTTCAGCTTCCTACATTTTTTAAATAAAATAAAAATACTTGGGGTGTCAAAGTCAGCCCAGAAGTTCCATAGGTATAGCTAAGTGACTTTGCAACCCCAAACAAAGGCCCTGAAAAAAGGACACAAAGCAAGGTTCAATGCAGAATATCTTGGTTTAATTTTAAAGCTAAGATTCTAAGGTAAAACTTCAAGCAAAACAGAATGAAAATCCATTGAGGGAAAGCTTTTCTATGATTCTTTAAAAGTAGTAGTTCAAAACCATTGTTATGCAGAGAAAAGTCAATGGGTCCGCTATTCTTACGCAGATTTTATCAGTTTTCATAGCCTCAGCAAGAATTAAAACATAAAACACTAATTAAAACATGTGCTTGCTGATGGTTGAAAGCCATTTTTATGCTAATTGCAAACTACTGCAGGAAATTGCAACTGGAACAAAGGATTTTATGATTTTGCACTTTCATAGTCTCAGGCACTTTCTCCTGGGGTTATATAGTCACCCCAGAAAGGACATAAGTTGGAGGTGTTTTAACACAGCATGAGGGTTAAGAACACTAGGATCTTCACATATTCTTGGCAGTTGTTCTTCTAAAAGTTATGCATATTTATTAAAGGAACCATGATAGCCCCCCCCCCAATTTAAGAAGAGATATTGAAAAACTTTGTCAATTTAAATGTCTGATTTCTCTCGGCTAGCACAACCTGTGTGTTAATACATGAAATGGTTGTAAAAGAGTTTTACTGGTTCTGCCTGAGGACTGGGTTGCTGGCATTCATTAACATTTTGATGAAATCTGGGATTAGTCTGGGTGATCTCTTAGAAGACCCTTTCAACCCAGTTGTTCAGTGACAGTAAGAAAGTGAGTTAACTGATCAAAATTGGTCAAAATTCTAGCTGCTGGACAGGTCTACCTGACCACTTTCATAGTGAAATGGATCTTGCTTCTACCCCCTAAGGAATATCATCCGTCAGTTCTTGTCAGTTGTTGTTATGGTGTACAGTAAAACCTTGGATTGCGAGCATAATTCGTTCCGAAAACATGCTTGTAATCCAAAGCACTCGTATATCAAAGTGAATTTCCTCATAAGGTTCAATGTAAATAAGGTTAATCCGTTCTGTAACTTTTTTTTTAATCACAAAAATTTGAAGCGGATGCGCTCAGGGGGGAGGCAGGCATGATCATGGGCACACTCAGGGGTGTGGGGAGATGATGCTGTACTTACACCTGCAGTGAGACAGAGAAGAACTGGTGCTCAGTTGTGACGTGACGCTTGGCAGGCAAAGCACGTGTGATACTCGTACTGCAAGACACTACTTGTTTATCAAGTTAAAATTTAGAAAAACTTTTTGCTCATCTTGCAAAACACTTGCAGACCAAGTTACTTGCAATCCAAGGTTTTACTGTACTGTCAAGTCATCTCTGATTTATGGCACCCAGGAATTAAAGATCTCTAAAATGTCCTGTCCTGTACAGCCCTGCTCAGTTCTTATAAATTCTCAGACATGCTTCTAACTGAATGGAAGATGACCCATCCTTTTATTTTCTTCCATGGAAGGGGCTTAGCTTGTTGCTTTGGTAGCTTGTTGGGAGAATCTGAGCCAAGATCGGGCTATTAGACCTCCATTTGAAGATGTCCTCTATTTGATGGGCTGCACAGTTCAAGTCTGGTTTAAAGTCAAAGAATCATAAGGGAGATTGGAAGCATGATAACTGAGTCGTGCTACCTACTCCCCACTCCAGGCTCCCTGCCCCACACTCCTGCAGATGTTGAGTGTGGAGGAATTGCTTGTGAGCAATCTTGCTCTGCCAAGTTTGGCAGGAGTGCATGGCAGAGAAGCAGAGGACAGTGACAAAAGTGTCCATTGTCATCCTGATCCCTGGAGTCCTCTAGTGTGGTGTCTCCTAATATTCCAGCTGGAGGACTGACAGGGGAGAAGGGGCAGTGCCTGAGGACTCCTAATGTGCCTGACTTTTGAAGAAGGGCACAGCCTCCCTAAGTTCTCATACCATCTGCTATTTTAAGATTTGTTTAGTTCTTTTAAAATCCTTCAGCGAGGTCCTTTTTTCAGTTCCTGTTCACACTTTAAGAGGCTCTTCTCACTGGGCAGTTACGTGGTCTATGAATATTTGAAAACAAAGGTGATGCCAAAACAGAGGTGATGATAATCTTCTTTCCCTTTGTTGAGGTATATTCTCTGTTCCATTGCTGTGTGCTTCATTTGTAGAGAATAGTCCAGCAGCAAAACCATCTCCAGGTTCAGCATCAAATGATATCAAATGCAATCTGAGTTAAAGCCTGTGTATTCCTTTACAACAAGTTAGTGTCACAAGTGGGTGATAGTCTGCTTATTTCTTTAAATTCCTCCAACAGATGCTTACAATGAAGAAGACTTGATGTTATATTGGAAACACGGCAATGAATCACTCAGCACAGATGAGCACATTTCCCTTTCCCAGTTCTTCATTGAAGAATTTGGTGCTTCTAGTGGACTAGCATTTTATAGCAGCACAGGTATGGCAAAGATATGACAAAGATACATTCTTATCATCCCTGAATATATTTTGAACTTAGAAAGTAATAATAGTTAGTAATATGCAAGAATCCTGCCAGCAATTGAGACATGTTCTAGGGAGGGAAGTAAGTTGGACTTAACCATCTTCTACATCTACCAGCCAATTTCTCCCTCCTCTGGTTGTTTTTGCTAGACTTGGACTCTGTTTCTTAGCTGAGCTGTTATAGCCAGCAAGGGCGCCGCCCCCAGGACTGACTGGAAATGTGGGCAAGTTGGGTTTCCTTCTAGGAAGGCCTTATCTGCTGGTCCAAGAAGTCAGATGGTGACAACATAGAAGGGAATGACACCAAAAGATGAGTGTAAGGGCAACCTTTCCAAATATTTTAGCTATTTTTGTTTGCTGAGAACCCTCTTTTGCTCTTGGGGCCTGGGGATGTGCTTTGGAGGGAACTAATGGAGCCAAGTGAGAATATGCATGAGGGCCCCAATCAGTCTGGTGTTGAATAGAAGAAGATGTGGCTTTAGGAGGAGAGTTAGCCAGGAAAGGGGTGTGTGGCATAGATAGCTATTAGCTGTGCCATCTTTCTACCTGCCCTTGCATCTACTGGTCTGTAAGTTTCCCTATCAGCATGTCCTCAGGTCTCCAGGTATTGCTTTTAAATGCCAGATCAGTTCAAAATAAGACCTTTCTCGCCCACAATGAAATAGTGAATGAGGCAGCTGATTGGACAAGCATTACTGAGACCTGGGAGGATGAATAGGGAGGAGTTAGTCTCTCCTAGTTATGCCTTCCGGGTTACTTGGTTCAGCATCAAGGAGGGCCTCAGGTCTGGGGAGGGGGTGTTGCCATGGTCTATGAGAATTCTCTTTTTCTCTCTCTCTCAGCTTCCTGTCCATCTATTAGAGTGTTTGCATCTGTTGTGGGCCAGTGGAACAGATTAGAGATTCTGTAGGTGTACTGCAGTACTCTCAGTTCCGTGACAATCCTGGGTCTGTTCCAAAATGTCACTGGCTGAACACATGTAGTTCATCATGCTCCAGATTTAGTATTTATAGTTGGGTATAGGGATAGTGATCTGCGGGCAAGAGACTTTGAATCTCTTGTGGTCAGATCATCACCTGTTGAGATTTAGACTAATGGCAACTTCTGCCCTTTCCAAGGGTGGGGGGCCTATTAAGATGGTCCACCCCCACAAGGCGAATGGATTTGGAAGGTTCTCAGAGGGCTCTTTTCTTGCAAAGTTTCCAACTGATATGGCCAGTGGATGGTTGAAACATTGATGGATCTCTGGAATACTGAGATGACCTGGGCAATTGACACAATTGCTCATGAGTGCCCTATCTGTAGTACAGCTCATGTAGCTCCATTATATATCCCAGAGAATGTTGAAACAAATTAGGAGATGATGAGAGCAACTGGAGGAAAAGTCCTACTGGATGCTTAGGAGCAGTAAGCAGTATCATTAGGAGCCATAGGGATGGCAAAGAAACAATATCTGATAGCCTCTACTTGATCTTCTCCTTCCCAGCCAGCCAGGATTTTCAGGTTGATCTGGGCCCTATTAAATATGTCTCCAAGGACATCTTGGACTAATCAGAGGCTCTCTGTAATATACTTGTTAGGTAGTTCAATGATAAAATCTCCTGCATCTGCAAAGAATTAGATTCCAATTTTATAGTACTTTTATCAGGCCAGGTACCCAGAACACAGCCTGGTCAAGTTTTATTGAATGAGTTTCAGTTGGTTTAGCTTGGACAGGTTCATGCAACCACTAGATCCTTGTTCCCTCTCTACTAGCTTTTATAAGCTAAGAGAAACAACTAGCTGGGCCATGGAGGTTATCAGTGCCTCATTACAAGAAGGAGTAATCCCATGCAGTGGTGTGACCACAGCTCAAGAAATCCTCCCTGGACCTGAAAAGACCTAATAACTTTACGCTGGTGATAAATGTTCCCTTCCTGAGTAAGGTTCCTGAGCAGGTGGTGGCCATCAAGGTCCTGGCACTCTTGGATAAAGATGATTATCCAAGAAACAGCTTTGGTCATCCTATATAATGAGTTATGTTGACAGAAAGATGGGGCAGTATGACCCTGTTAACACTGTTGGATATCTTAGTGGCTTTCAGTACTATTGACCATGATATCCTTCTAGGACCATTTTCTGAAGTGGGAATGGGGGTACAGGTTTGAAGTGGTTCCACTTCTACTTGTATGGTTGGTGTCAGAAGGTAGCACTTGGGTGATACTGGTAAACTCCTTGGATTCTCCAGTATGGGGTTCCTCTGAGTGAGGTCATCCAGGGCTTCCGACTGCATTGCATCAGTAAACTGACAACATGCAACTCAATTTCTCCTTTTCATCTTCTGGAGGTAAGGCTGTGGATATGCTAAATCACTGCCTGACTCTGACACTGGGCTGGATCTCTACTAGACAAGTAGTGATACTGTTTGTAGATTGTTCCTCTGACTGCATGGAGAGTGCTCAACACTTCTGGATGGGTTTGCACTCCTGTTGAAGGAGTAAGTTCATATTTTGGGGTGCTCCTTGAGCATCTTTGTCACTTGAGTGTCAGGTAATCGCAGTGGCACGAGTACCTTCAACCAGCTTCAGCTGGTTGAACAGATGCACCCTATTTAGACAGGCATAGTCTTGTTTCAGTAATCTGCAATCTGTTAACCTCTGGTAACTAGACCAATGCATTCTACATGGAACTGCCACTGAAAATCATTGAGAAGCTGTAGCTTGTGCAAATGGTAGCAGTCAGAACAGAACCAAAACATGAAGGTCCGAGCACATAATGCCAGTTCTGGCCCACCTGCACTGGCTGCATATACATATCTGCACTAACGTCAAAGTACCAGTTTTATTTGGTAGCCCTACACAGGTTGTGGCCACAATACTTGATGGAATGCCTCTCCCATCCACAGTCTACCCAGATACTACAATCAGCATCAGGGGCCTTCTTTTAACTGCTACCCCCATGGGAGGCTTGGATGGCAACAACAAGAAGGAAGGCCTTATCTCCGAAATTACGGAATTATCTTCACACTGAGGCTCTCCTTGTGTCAATGTTACTATCCTGTTGGCCCCAGGATAAGACTGTCCTCTCTGCTGAGGTATTTAAGAGCTCCAAATAGTGCATCCGCGTGTATTATATCAATATGTCTTATGTTTAAGTTGTTAAGATTCAGTTTTACATTTTTAGTGAGATGTTATGAGGTTTCACCATTATTTACATATTGTAAACATTATAACACAATATATTGTATCATATTGTATTTTACTGTATTTTATCAGTTGTACACTGCCCAGAATGCTTCAGTTATTGGGCAGTATGGAAATAAAGAGGAAGAGGAGACCAATTTAAAAGATGTTTTCTCCCTTTCTCTGTTGTGATTATGTGGTGTCAAGTCATCCCCAACTTATGGCAACCCTATAAATGAACTGCCCTCTAAAATATCCTACCTTTCACAGCCCTGTTTTGCTCTTGTAAACTCAAGCTGTGGTTTCTTTTATGGAATCAATCCATCTCATATTTGATTTTCCTCCTCTTCTGCCTCTGACTAGCGTGATTCTTTTCTCCAGTGAGACCTGCCTTCTCATGATGTGCCCAATATATGACAGCTTCAGCTTTGTCAATTTTGCTTCTAGAGAAACTTCTGGGTGTATTGATCTTGGACCCACTCATTCATCTGTTGGTCCATCCAGGGTATTTACAAACCTCTCCTCCAACACCATGTTTCAAAGGCATCTTCATATGTTTTTGTTGTAATACCTTGAACATTGCTTTGCCTGCATGGCAAATTGGTGCAATGGTCCTAAGGTTGCTGCACTCTATTTTGGGAATGTAATGTATATTGAATGTTTCTAGTCTGGGGCTATTATTTTGTTTTTCCATATTTGTTGACATATTTTGTTAGGATTTGGGCTTATTTGGTCTCTGTAGCTTGGAATAGTTCTATTGCTACCCAATGTACTTCAGGTGCTTTATTCTTTTCAACTTGCAGGGTCTTCTTCATAGCATTCCTCTTTGAAGCTGTCTTCCATCCTTTCATCAATTTTGTACACTTTTTTTATATTGTTTCCACCTTCTCTTTATTTTCTCCTGGTCAGACAGTATGTTCATTTGATTGTCTTTTAGCATTCCTAATCTAGGTTTGAATTTCCCTTTGATTTTTGTGGATATTCTGAAAGAGGTTTCTTGTTTTTCCTCTTCTGTTGATCTCTTTCATTTCTTTGTATTAGTCTGTTTGATAACTGCTGAAAGTTACATTCAGGATTTTGACCCTATTTCTTTCATCTTTTGCTTCTTGCCTGTCCTTGGCGATTGTGTTTCTTCTGTCATCTATTTAGGCCTTTTTTTCTCTTTTTGCTACAGGAATTGTCCTTTGGTGTACATACTAGAGGTAACATATAGCCATCAGGACTAGTAGCCATTGATAGCCTTGTCCTCTATGAATTTGTCCAATCTCCCTTTAAAGTGCTCCAAATTGGTGTCCACCAGTTCATCTTGTGGCAGTGAATTCCGTAGTATTACTATGCCATTTGTGAAGAAGTATTTCCTTTTATCTGGTTTGGAATCTCCCACCAATCAATTTCTTCAGATGACCTCATGTTCTAATATTGTGAGAATGTAAGATTAATTAATTCATCTAGAATGAATTTCCCCACCAGATGCAGCATTTTATTATATATAAAAGCTAGAATCAAAATATTATTTTGTGTGTAACTCAGGTAGTGGACATAATTTGACATTTGCAATCTGTACCTCTAGCAGAAAACAAAGTGATCAAAGCTGCAATCTTATGCCTACTGACTTGGAAATCAGCCTCGTTGAGCTTGATGGGACCTACTTGAGTGGAGATGCATAGGATTGCAAAGTAAATATGACTGAGTATATTAAAAGGAATCCAGTTAATAATAACCATACTTTCTGGGATGGAAGTATGCGGCAGATAGATATAAAACTTGCAACAGGATTACGGCAGTCATATTTTCACTACAGTATAATGTGATTATTACAATACAGCCAGGTTCCAGTTTTTGCAGATGTATTTCCTCTCTCCTCAATGCTGTGGCTACAGAATTTTGCTGGTGACTCACTAGAGGGCACTGTGGTGGTACTGGGCTTGCTAAGCCAGTAATCAAATGCTTGGTTTAGGAGGAAAACTCTGTGGCTAATGAAGAAACAGCAGCAAATATCACCTGAGAATGTATCATCATGAAATATTCCTAAAGCCTTTCCACAAGAATGAGAGTGGTAATTGTGCATGTCATGGTCAAGTACACTGTGGATTAACTGCAACTCTGTGTAACTGCATTAAGCTTGAGAGGGAAGAATTTTGTTAACGGGCACATGGTACACAGGACTTACCCTAGTTCTCTGTCATCAGACTCTCACTAATGTTTCTCATTTCCTTCAACTGTTATCAGGATAAGTTGAAAGAAGCCATGCAAATATGACAAATAGCAGGTGGCAGTGCCTGTAATATTTTGCATATACATGGCACTGCTTTTTCTGTCATTTTCCTTTCTACTGTTACATGGACTGTGGCCCAAGGAACCATGCATTTAACCCATGTCCAATTGGACATGGGGTGATGCTGCTGGAAAAATCCAACATTTACAACAAATTGAGGGCAATTTCAGAATCAGTTCATAACATGATGTGGTGATCTCCTAGAGCAGTGATGGTGAACCTTTTAGAGTGAGTGCCCAAAGTTCAACCCAAAACCCACTTATTTATCACAAAGTGCCAACACTGCAGTAAAACTTGAAAACTGAGGTTTTGCTTTAGAAAAATCAACACACACCCCATCTAAGCAAATGTATATATATCCTTGGCAGCGCACTGACTGGCCATGCGAAAGCTTGGACAAGTCGTAGCTAATGAGTCGTGGCTTGTGATGTAATCACCTGGCGCTACTACTCCTTTCCGAGCCTGCACATGGCCCCTATGTGCACTGTTATCTGATGCCTGGCTGCTGGGGCGATGCTGGGGCGACTTGGCTTGCATGCCGACAGAAAGGGCTGTGCATGCCCGCTGTGGAACACATGCCATAGGTTCACCACCACTGTCCTAGAGTAAAGAAGGAATGAGTCAAAAATCCCACTGTGTTAGCATGCTTTGGCTTTTCTAAAGCCATTTTTTGGATCCCAGCCATGGTGTGCTGAAATCTTAAATAAGGTCTTCAAAGGACCTTTAGCAAGTGAAATAGGTAGAAGCAGAGTGAAACTGCAGCGATTGAACGTACTCCCAAGTATCGATAGTCCTCATCTGATTCCTTTAGCAGTGGAAGTCACTATAGAAGGATATTTAGGTAAAACAAATGTGAAGAGTGTCTCTTTTAGTGAAGCACAGATAAGGAGAGCACAAGAAGGATGATCATGAACATGTTTACTTCTTTCCATAGGTTGGTACAATCGACTTTTCATAAACTTTGCCCTGAGGAGGCACATTTTCTTCTTTGTTCTACAATCCTATTTCCCATCTATGCTGATGGTGATGTTGTCATGGGTTTCATTTTGGATTGATCGAAGAGCTGTTCCTGCAAGAGTATCACTAGGTAAACCTTCATCTGAAGATATTTTGCTATGGTAGGAAAAGCATGTTAATAATTTGGTCATACTACTTTATAGTTAATTCACAGAAAATGCAGCATGTCTGCAGATAAATGCAGTCTATAGGGGTTAATTAATTTCATTTCTTGTGAAATTACCAGTCACAGGAATTTATTTCTTGTGAAGTCACCTTTGCCCTTTATGGAGGAAGTGACAGTTCTGGCCAATAAACTTGATTTTATTCAATTAGTCACAAGTGACACCAGAACAGTTTTTTTAAAAGTTCTTCATTTCAGATAGCACTTACCATGTATAAAGCACGTACTGTTTCTCTATGTGTGAGCCACTAGCGTGCACAAGTGCTCACAGAATACATGCACTCACATGCATTAAGTGCATTGTCGGGGGAGGGGGTGGGGGCAGAGATTGGGAACCTAGTTAGAGACTGAGATCTAGCTTGGTAAACTAACTGCATCTGTATGTGCTCAAAAAGATCCTCCAGAAGTCTGTCAGTGGAGCATAAGTGATAATGGATATGCTCACACATAATGCTAAACAATGCCACTTAGTTACCATGCAGCATGGCATATCACCATCTGTCCTGTGGTCACATATTTATTTATTTAAAACATTTCTATGCCACCCCATCGCAATAAAGCCTCGGGGCGGCTCACAAAACATCAATAAATAAACCATACAATAAAACCCCAATATAATAAAACCCCAGTGCCATAAAACCTCAATAAAACCTCAGTGCGTTCTCAGCTAAAAAAAACCAAAAAAAAACCCAAAAAAAACCAAAAAAAAAAACCCCTAGTTAAATAAATAAATTAACAATTAAAATAAGTTTTAAATAAAAAGGTTTTGGCCTGGCACCGAAAAACAAATAATGATGGCGCCAGGCGGACCTCTCTGGGGAGTGCATTCCATAAATGGGGTGCCACCGCAGAGAAAGCCCTCCTCCGGGTACTCACCCTCCTGATGTCATTCACAGATGGTTCCCGGAGAAGGGCATCTGCTGCTGACCTCAAGGGGCGGGAGGGCATATATGGGAGCAAGCGTTCCTTTAAGTATCCAGGTAACAAGCCGTTTAGGGCTTTATAGATCATAACCAACACCTTGAATCGGGCCCGGACTTCAATCGGGAGCCAGTGGAGCTGACGGAGAACTGGGGTTATATGAGAACAACGCCCAGTCCCCGTCAGCAACCTGGCAGCTCTATTCTGCACCAATTGAAGTATCCGGACCGTCTTCAAGGGTAGCCCCACGTAGAGCGCGTTACAGAAATCTAATCGGGAAGTTACCAGCGCGTGTGTCACTGTCGCCAGGCAGTCATTCTCTAGGAAGGGACGCAGCTGATGGATCAGCCGAAGCTGAAGGAAGGCGCTCCTCGCCACCGCCGTCTCCCGGGCTTCCAGAGACAGCTCAGGGTCGAGAAGCACTCCTAAGCTGCGAACCCCGTCCCTCAGAGGGAGTGCAACCCCATTTAGGACAAGGCCCAAGTCCCCCATCCCAAGGTCCGAGCCACCCACCAACAGGACCTCCATCTTGTCTGGATTGAGCTTCAGTTTATTGGCCCTCATCCAGCCCATTATCTTGACCATGCACCGGTTCAGCACAGCCACTGCCTCACCTGGATTGGAAGAAAACGAGAGGTAGAGCTGGGTATCATCAGCGTACTGATGATTCCGCAGCCCACACCTCCTGATGACCTCTCCCAGCGGTTTCATGTAGATGTTAAAAAGCAAAGGGGACAAAATGGACCTCTGCGGAACTCCATGGCATAGCTGCCATGGCGCAGAGCCATAGTCCCCCAGCACTACCTTCTGAAATCGGCCATTGAGGTAGGAGCGGAACCACTGCCACGCGGTGCCTCCAACTCCCAATCCCGCTAGCCTATTCAGAAGGATACCATGGTCGATGGTATTGAAAGCTGCTGAGAGGTCCAGGAGAACCAACAGGGACACACTCCCCCTGTCTCTCTCCCTGCACAGGTCATCGTACAGGGCGACTAAGGCAGATTCAGTGCCATACCCGGGTCTGAAGACGGACTGAAATGGGTCCAGATAATCAGTTTCATCCAAGAGTGCTTGGAGTTGTCCCACCACCACCCGCTCTAGTACCTTGCCCAGGAACGGGATGTTGGCCACCGGTCTATAATTGGTGGCCACCTCTGGATCCAGGGATGCCTTCTTTAGGACTGGCCAGACTACTGCCTCCTTTAAAGGGGCAGGTACCCAGCCGTCTCTTAAAGAGGTGTTG